ACCGGTATTGAAGTGTCTGATGAATATGAAACAATTGAAGAAGGAGATGATGAATCGCCAGTTGCAGACAACACTGACATTGAGCAGGATTCAGAAACACAAAATTCCACCAATAAACCAAAAATTACTGATGCAGATAATCAACCTCATGGAAAAAATAGACGTCGGCGGAAACGTAAAGACCCTAGGACCGGTCTTGAAGTGTCTGAAGAATATGATACAATTGAAGAACAAGATGTCAATAATGAGTCTATTCCTCAAAGTTATAATGATGTGTCTGAGGATCTCTCAGATGGTGAATATGGAGAAACAAATAATATTGAAAATAATAACGAGCAACCTGAATTTGTGAAAAACCCTGAAAATTTCGATTTAGCAGGATCGGATTTTTCTGCTTCTGCCGATACCGATGTAAATGGAAACATTCCAAAACGATATCCTCGTAAAATGAGACGGCGTAGGAAATCAAAACAACCACGATTTGTTGATGAAAATAATAATGAACCAGTTATAGTTAGTGATAAAAATTATCCAAATGAATATCAAGATGTCAATAGTGAGTCTATTCCTAAAAGTCTTAATGATGGTTTGGAGGAAGTTCCAGAAAATTCATATGAAGAAACAAATAATATGGGAAATAATAAAGAGCAACCTAAGTTACCAGAATATCCTGAAAATTCTGATTTAGCCGCTTCAGATTTTTCAGCCTCAATAGATACTGATGAAGATGGTAATTTTGCAAAACCAAGTCCACAGAAAGTGAGAGATAGTACAAGTAACTCTAAAAAACCCAGGAGAAAAAAACATAGGAAGAGAAAGATAATTCCTACAAATGTAGATGCAGAAAAGAGTAGAAATATAAATGATGAAAATCCAATAGAAAACCCTGAGACACAATCAAAAGACATTCGAAGGAATCCCAAGAAAAGGAGACATATTAGACGTATTAGAACATACATGATAAATAAAACAACAAATGAAAGAATACCTATTGATGATCAAATATATTCCACGACAAATGGGTTACCTGATGGTCTAAATAATAAATTTGACTCATCGGAAGCTGAAGATTCGATGTTCGATGATCCAGATTCAAATGCAGATAATGATGTCTATTCTTCATTTTTGGTAATAATAACAGATAACTTTATATTTATCATAGAATTATTTATAAAATTGTTTTTTTTTGTTTTAGTTTAATGAACACAATGCAGACCAATGTAAACGTAATGCGTACGATAAATTTAAAAAAGTCACATCACAAGATGCTAAGCAAATTGCATATCGAAGTGTTTTAGATACTAGTGAAATGCGAAGTAGTATGTTAGCAACTATAAAAAATGCAATAAGTAGTGTAAAAGTGTCCCAAACATTCAATGATGTTGATCAAAGTTTACGGACAGTCAGTTACTCACTGAAAACTGGTTTAAAACAAACTATTAGTGACTTGGTTACAAAAATAGTTCCGTTAGCTAATGATTTTTTGAAAACGACAGAGAATCTTAAGGAATTGTATCAAAAAGGTCCACAGTCTACTCACAAAATGTTAACAAACATCTTAGAGAACGAGTCAACCGTTCCAGATTCAGCAAAAGATATATTAAAACTTATTTCTCCAGAATTTAATGTGGATGAATTAGTAAATAATATCTTTGAAAAACCATGTAATGCAAAATCATTGAAAGAGAAAAAGAATAAAGCTCAAAGAAAACTTATCGAACTTTCAAAACACATGGACACGGCAATAAGCAACATTGACTGTTTTGTGCTGTCCACTATGTCTATCGTAGGAATCGGAGCGGACACGTTAAAACTGTTGAAATCCGGCAAAGTGATCATGAGCGATAAACATCCCAGGGCAAAAACATTGAGAGATGCCGTGGGAATAATTGTGGCAGGTAAAAATATCAAAAATAATAACGTAGGCTTAACACCAACGTTGACACCTTCTAGTGGAACTACTGTAAGTAACGAAGATGACGATGATGATGAAGATCCTGACCAAGTTGCTCAGAAAAATGAAGAATTTTTAAAAAATGTACCTGACCTAGACGATAATATACCCATACAAAAAAAAATACCAAACAAGCGACATTCGTTAGGCGTAATTGTTGTACATCCGGACAAACATATAGAGTACAAAGAAGTAACTGACACTTCACAATTGAAAAAATTTGTTGGAGACAAAACGAAAAAATACAAATTGCAATCTAAAAATAAACATCCTAAATTTTTAAAATTGAATAGTAAAAAATTGATCGACGTTATGGTTGCGGATGTGAAGAAAAAGGCTGAGATAAATGGAATGACCAAAAAAGAAATGATAGAAGAAATAATTAAAAATTTAAGTAGTAGTTGAACTTATTTACGACTATACATTATAAAGAATGTTTTTTTTATTGATATTGATAAAAAAATTTGCTATCATGCAATAAAATTGATTTAACTTGTATTTAATATTTTGCATATTTTAAACTATTAGTTCATAATAAAATTGTTAAAAATATACAACTTTTGTATGAAAAATAACTCAATTTATTATATAATTGATATTTCATTGAATAAAAATGTTATAGCTTTTTAATTATTTTATAATAAAAGTAGCTATAATAGTATACATAATTATATTTTTTATTTTTTTAATAACATTGACGTCAATATTCATAATACTCTTAAATGAGTTTTATTTTATTACTATATCTCACCTTGTTAACTTTCACTGCATCGATCTAAATTCAGCAAATTAAAAAAATAATAATATTGTAATGTAACAAAAATGTAAAAATCGACAACAGGTGAACAATTTACTGAATTAATACTTGATACTCAATGTATGCTAGCATAGGCACGTCGAATAGTTATATCGTAAAGATATGGTTACGTGAATTATAATGTATGTAAATAATTATTTTATCAATATTAGTAATTCGCAGCCTGGGTGTATTTATTTGTGAAAAATGATAGAGAGGTAACCTCCCACATCAAAAAAGAAATGCGGCATAATGTGATAAAATATTATACAATTTTATAATAAAATCTATAGCATTATAAAATTATTCATATCAAGAATTATACCAAAATCATTAAATGATCTTGTCCCATTTTTAATCTCTTGCCAAGTTTTTAACTCACCAACAATATAATAACAGATACAAACTTGTCAACAGTAATAACGGTCACCAATCTATTAGGTTTATAATTTAAATAATAAAGCTATAGATCATTCTAATGATGCAAAAGTGTTGAGATTTAAGTTCAAAACTTAAAATCTAATGAAATACAGTCTTGAGTATTTTAAATAGCAAAGTACAAGTGTACAACTATTAATTTTTATTAATCACTGCGACTACATGGTCCCGATGGTAGGTCTTGTCCAGATTTTAACATTTTAAAAACAGTAACAATTAAAAAGATTATCGATAATACTCGTACGTCAAGCACTTGGAATTTTTTTAAAAGAACTTTATAATATAGATAGGTACCTACCTGATGGGTTATGTGGTACAAGTATATCATAAAGTATCGAATACATTTTTTTCCTGTTCTTGTTTGATATTTTCTACAAAAAAAAAAATCTGTTTAAGATAATCAAAGGTATGATGATTTAAATTATTACATATAGCTGTTAAAAAACATAGCAAATGAATCAGAAATTCATGTACCTGGATATTTTAAACTTAAACCATTATTTACTACTATAAATGATACATTATTGGATAAACAAAGAAAAATAGATAGGTATTTAATTTCAAAATGAAAAAACGCCAAAAATTTGAGAAATATTAAAAATATCAATAAATGCAATATGTTTTTTAAGTAAGTAAAAAAATACCTTCTAGCGACCATAACAAAAACATTTATTTAGTCAATAAAGGAAACTACCAATACGGTGTTCACGCAAGTTCAATCTTAGAACGCGATTTTCCGTGTCCAACTACGGATCAGCTGATCATAGCTCAATGAGCGTTAGACTTCGGTCAGACTATATCCGACATCGGCTGAATACGGTCATACAAAATATTTTGTTTTTTTCCGGCCAAATCGGCAGAATAATTTTATTCGGTCTAATCTAACAAGTAGTTTTAGGTTCCGTAGACGGCTTCCGCCGGCGAGTCCACACGTATCCGCGTTGTACACAGCCTCAGCTCATTGCGTTTGCCATCTCTGCCGGTCAACCAGTTTCGTCGCATCTTTTCGTACGCCGGTCAGCGGTCACAGACTCCTTCAGCTACCATCCGCCTTTTCGGTGTTGCCGCATTTGTTTAACCCGCCGTTAGTCTTTTGCGCCGCTTAAGTGTACGTTACGATTGTCACAAGTATTCTACATTAAGATATCGCATCATCGCGGCATTACGGCTTCAGCGCCGTTTTATTTTCCAATGTTTCTTCGTGGGCTCGTTAACTGGTTTGCACTTTTGCAGACCGCCGTCAGGCACCAGCTGCCACCCGTGCGTTACGCAATCGCGTACTTCGTGCCGCCGGCCCAGTAGTACCAACCTTTAGCTATCAGCCGTTGTCTCGTCTCTGCGACACGGACCAATCGTGGATACGACAGTGAGTCAAAATATTACGGATTTGCTTCGCCAATCGCCGCGTAAATATTCGTCGTTGTTTGCTAGTATTTTATTATCTTACATGACACATGTTGTAGCTATCATATTTATAAATTTTATTTGAGTATGAATATCCATAGTTTCGGGGCACCCTATTTGTTTATAATATTTACTCTGTATTCCTGGTCATTATTTAGATGAAACCATTCGCGGTCAAATTTGGTCGTTTCACTAGGGCCAACCTACAATTAGGAGTCCTGCAGTGTACATACGGAGTTATTGATTTCTAGCCAAAAATTTGATCCATTATAACAAGAAAATTTAAATATATCTACTATTTTTCAAGGCACTTTTGATCCTACACAAAATGCATTAATAAATTCTGTTACTGATGCTATTATCAAGATTTAATTTTATTACCAAAAATTGTTTAATGAAATTTAAAATACACAATACGTGGCAATAATGCTTGACGAAACAACTGATATCAGAGTACTAAATTACAATTATCGACATTATTAAAATATTTTTCATAAAACGAAAACAAAATTGTTTGATTTTTCTTAATTTTATGACACGAGTGCTGACAAAACTGCAGCTTTTTTTATTTAATCACGTATATCAATATCAAGTAGTCAAATAATTTTAAATTGAAAAAAAAATTAGTGGCATAATCATATATAGCGGGGTAGCAATAATGTCTGGTCATTTAAACAGTCTGCAAAGTAAAGTTTTAGAGAAATATCCTAAATCTATGTTTACTCATTATTATGCGCCAGGGATGTGCTCACGACGAAGGATGAAGGTGTATGAAGAGATTTTTTTTTATCCTTAAAAATAATCCATACATGTTGTTATTCAACTCAAGTACAAAAAAAAGGATGAATAACTTAGGTATAATATTAATTGAAAAAGAATTGGTATTATTAACAAATATATTGAATAACTAATAAGAGATAAAAGTAGAATTTTAATTCAAGTAAATTTCAATTTAGTATAGATTTTATTCATTTACACCAAAACGTTTTATAATATATTTTAATTTTTATAATTAATATACGTTTTATGAATAAATGTTCTATATTATATATTTTTTTTTTAATTTAAAAAGTATATCAATTAAATAATTTTAATATGTTGATAGTTAATAAGCTTAAAATGTTTAAATACCTACCTATTAGTATTGAATTTGTTTTCTATAAAATGGGTTTTCCTAATCAATCACAAATTAACGCCTAACACCGAAAATCAGGAAACGCCACTATAGTATTATAATATCTCACAGGCAATTACTCAAGATTGTAGTATTTTATTTATTTATTGTTGTTAATAATCGTTAGCTAAATTTACAGAAAATGAATAACAATGATAAGTTTTTAAAATTAGCATCAAAAATCTATTAAAAAATAATTATAGAATAATATTTAATATAATATTATTGAGTTATAAAGGTTAGTACTTGATTATAACAACTATAATAAATAATAATATAATTAATAATAAAAGGAAGACAATTAAATAAACATACATTCATATTTCATACCTAAAAAAAAAAATATTATATTTAAACATAGATATTAAAATGAAAATAAAATACGATAAATACCTATTATTATAGGCAAATAATAAAAAATTTATTATTTTAGGTAAATGACACAAGTTATGGAAATAAAGTATCATTAAATTAGTAATTGCCGAATAATAATAATTTATTAATAGCAGCAGTATGTTTAAAGTAATTTGAAATTTAAAAAATGTTATTTAAGTCATTTTCATATAATTATATTAAAAGAATAATTACATAATATTACTTATTAATAATTGTAAATTATAATACCTACCTAATAATAAATAATAATAAATTGAAAATAAATCGAATACATACTAATTACTATAGGTATAGAAAATACAATTTTTTTAAAAACCAAATAATAAGTTGTTTTAATGTAGAACAGAAATAATTATACAATGTCAAATCATCTTAATAAATAAAAACTTAAGTAAAATAAGTAAATATTATGCAATAAAATTTAATATGTATTTATTTTTTACAATTGTAGAATACATTTTTTACAAAATTATAGTTGAAATTTAAAACAAAATGTTGTTTTAATAAATATTTTATATACTATTACTTTTTTAAACGAAATATGTTACCTTACTATTAATTCATTTTTATAGTTATTATTTCTTTTGATTATTTCTTACATTATGGTCTTTGGAATAATAAGTATAGGTATTAGTAATTTTCAGTGTTATATAAATATCTATCTACCGTTGCACTTCTGTTGTTATAACTGTTGGCCATTTCATAATTAAAAGACTTTTTTTATAAAAGCTTTTAATTTAAAAATTAAAAACGTTTTAAAGCTTTGGTCTAGTACACGGATTATCGACTTTTTTTTTTTCTTACAATTTGAGTTTATACTTTATCAACGATAGTGGTTTTAAATATATGATTCGAGGTTTTGTCTAATTGATAAATTGTATAATACTTCATACTTGTGCGAAGCAATTTTTTTAATACCAGCATCGCCAACAAATATTTTCATTTGATGTATTAACCGACACAATGAAAAATAAAATACGATAACATTGATGTCTTATTTGATAGTTATCGTGATATTGGTGACTACAGCAGCAAGGCATGTGATTTTACGGATTTTAATTACACAAAATTACCATATTCATATGCAATATTTATCGCAATGCACTAGATTAATAATAAGTATTTACAATTATTATTCGCATATGATTTATAATACAGTAGGTATAGTACCTATAATTAGTAATATATAAACACTAAACATTTTTTTTTCGCTTTTATACTAAAAATAAATTATCCTCATAACAGTCATAACTATGCAGGGTCTCATCTCACTGGCAGATAGAAGAGTTAACACTAACTTAGAATTTTTACAAAAGCTGGTAGATGGTCGTGTTGATACTCCCTTTTATCTCCATTGGTCAGTTTCAAAGTCCTTTCTCGTATCACTAAATATTGTGTTACTGCTGCTACTTACGTAGTTACTCGAAATGATCATAAGTATCGTTCAGAATGTTCAGATACGTACGAATTTTTGAATATAACTATAGATAACTTACACCTGAATTCCTATTCTGTCCTTGGTGTAGCACTTTAATTTGATTTTAAAATTGATTTACGTCATTCATTACCACATGATAGCAACTATTTTTATATAGCAGCTTTTATTGCGAAGCTTCTACGCAGTGAAATGAATAAAAAACCTCACAAACGGTAAAATGTCAATATGTTGTCGTTCTAAATTCGATAGAGATCACTGGGTAATGTCATAATAATATAACTATGATTCAAACAACAACAAGAATTATACTGACGAATCATTACTATAGTAAATATTCACTACAGTTATGCATTATATTTGTCGCAATACGGAAAATTCAGCGATGCAAAAATCAATATCTACCTTGAAGCTAACCACGCCGGAAGACACGTGGACGGGATGTCGCACAGACAGCTCCCGATGAAAGGCCAGGGTGGTCAAAAAAGCCGGATTGGTTGGACACATCGTTCAGCAGCAGGAAAACACAGACAGCACAACTCGAGCACAAACAGTGCGATCAACAGCAACCGCGAAGCCATTTGAAAGAATGAATCTTAATTACTGTCGTTAATGTGAATGTTTTTTGTTAAAATTAGAGACTTTTAGTCATATTTTAATATATTTATTACGGTATCGTTGTATTTTCCCTACACATAAACTTTAATTCTGTACGACCGTACTATAAAAGAAAATAACATTCAATCGGCTTTAAATGAATCATTTTTTGATATTGACAATGATTTTTTCGACCCAGATATTATTTTATTATGATAATAATAACAAAAATGCGTATTTCAAGAATGAAAAGATATTATCTCTTTTTTATTAATGAAGAAAAAAAATTTAAAACATATATCTAAAGACAAATATATTTAATAATTATTTTCAATCTTACTCTTATGTTATTTTTATAAAAAATATAATCTCCACAATGTAATTAAAGAAATTTTTGTAAAAATATTTTAAGTAATAAATATAGTGTTTTAATAGAAGAAAAACATTTTTAAGTTATAAAATTTAGAACCATTTTGATCGAGAACCAGATAACTCCATGTTATATTTAACTTGAATAAATATTTGCGAATAAAAATTGAAAATAAGGATTTTTATATTTAGAGATAACTATTCATTGTTATATCCTCAATTTAATTTAGATAGATTAATTTTATGTTCATTGCAAAATGAAATGCTTTATCTTTAATAATTTTTCATATAATGATATCTGGTTGTTGCATCGGACCCTTCTATTGACTATTTTGTTTATTTTTTTCGACATTTTATGTAAATATTTCATATAAGAATTTAATACTTTATTACTTTAAGTATATTATTAAAAAATAGTACTCGATTTTTGAATCCGCGACTTCAGTTGATATCATAATGTGATTATTTCCGAGCATAAATAAAATGTTTATTTTAAAATTTATTTTTTAAAAAAATTTTGTCACAAATTAATTGTCGACTAAATAACTTAATTCAAGTAGGAACTCTTATTTGTTTGAATTTTTTTTACTTTTAGACATCTTGAACGTAGTTTTTAAAATACTAGGATCTAAGTGATTCACTGGAGCAGCGCTATCTATGGTAGATTGTTCGTCATCGTCTAATTGGCCGATTACAGGAAGTCGATCGGTCACGTTCAATTGTGGGGCCACTAAATTCATAAAAAACTGAAATTAAAAAAAAGATAAGCCATTTCATTATGTGTTATTTGTATTAATTAAAAATTTAAGAAATTAGAATTACGGACTATAGAAGAAAAAGGGTAAAATTTGCAAATAACAGTGTCGAGACATTTAGCTAAAGTTGTTGTATTTGAAATGTTTATCAATGAGTAATAATAAAATTCTATTCAAATTTCAGCGATAATATTTAAGTTTAAAAAGTTGGTATCGTAAAACCATGAACTTCAGATAACTCTAATTGCAAACTAAGAACGATCAAATTCTGAATATACCATTGTTTTAAACATACCTACATATCGTACTCCTAAAATGTGAGTTAAAATCAAGATGTTCGTTAAATAAATGTTTCCATTTCCCAAGTTATTTATAACCCCAACAACATTATAGTATATATTTTCAAGTAAGATTTTTAATACATATGCAAATATGAAATATGTTTAGGATCTTTTTTAAGATCAAGTCACCAACTATCTATTAAATTTCAAGTAAAAAAGAATTAAAAAAAAAAATATGCGTTGATAGTCGTTGATAAAAAATAATACTTGTAAATAATATTTTACAATAACCTACCTCACCGATGGACGTAAGTCCCATGTCGGTGAACTTGAGTTGCCAGTGAGGTAGGCCCATGTGAACCAGAGCCTTTCTGAAATAGTTGCTGAAGTTCGGGGCGAGCAAGTGCCAGCGGTACGTGGTGTCCAACAGCCAAACTGATGCGCTGCTGTGCTCTTCGTGTGGATGAACTTCCAACCGGTTCGCCATCGCAGACGCCACCGCCGTCTGGCCATCCAGGTACACCAGACACACATGACCTACGTCTGAGCTCGAGTCCAGTTCGAATATCTTCGAGTTCTCTGTGAAGTCTGGCGTGTTCTTGTCGGATAAACGGTCCAATAACTGCAAGTCACGCATCACGTTTACGTTGACCGTGTCCGATTTAACATCACATAGCCGGACCAAGTCGGACAGCGGATTCACAGTGATGTTTCCGATGGGCAAGTTGGACGCGCCTCCAATATCAGACGTAATGCCTGGATAAAATAAATATATTGTTATTACGAATGTAACAAGATGAGTACTAAACAAAGCCTCTCTTATTTTCGATGGTTGAAAAAAAAGATACATAAGGTAGTAGTTTACATTTGATTTCTACAATCTATGATACATTTATTAGGTATTTTATATTTAACCCTTACAATTACGCGAGCTGGTGTACTTTGTACACCAATATTGATTGTATTTATTTTGTTCTATTTTGATTTATATATTTTTTTTTCAGTTATTTTCCTAATCTAACTTTTCCTTATCTAATATTTATATAATATTAGATATTATTATATTAATCTATTTTAATCGTCATTCATTGATTATAGAGCTATAAAAGTATAATATTTTGTTATTTCATCTTACATAGTTAAAAGTTATCTGTTTATTGTTCATATTTCATAGATAAAACATTTCTAACAAAATTTGATGCTGAAATGCCTGGCAATAAAAATAAAATTGTCATATTGGTCATATTATTACCAAGAAAAAAAATAAATATAAAAAATATATTTGAGTATATTTTTTGCAAATTACAATTTTTTTTTTTTAAATATCACAAATGACAAAAATGATTATTCACTTCATTAATAATTGAAAGTTGAAACGTAAAAAAAATATTCAAAAAGATTATAAATTTTAATTATGGCTATAATTTATAATATTCCTAATAAATTCCTGGGAATTTATACATCACTATAATTATAACGATTTTATATAATACCATTGGTTTTATAAATATTTTATTAAAATCAATGATGATGGTAACAATATGTTTCAAAACACAATAAAAAATACAATCATATTAGTTTTGCGACTACGCCTGGCAATGATTGATTAATATTAAATATTAAATTTTAATACATTTTTATGTCATAATACGATTTTTCTAACAAGTAACATGAATACTCATGGCATTAAAAATAGTAATAATGATATATTAATATTTAATCATGATGTATTTTTAATTCAAGTTTTTAGTCCACCACTATTTATAATATTTAATACAAAAAAGAAAAATATTCAACAAACAATTAATGATAATTTATTATCAGTCCTTAGACTTAAATTGAGAAGGACAATATCTACTATGAATTTGTTCTTGAGTAGGTACAGAAATCTCAAAAACTATTACTTATTACGAATATCTATGACGAATTTTAAAATTGTAAACAACATACATGTTGTAATACACATTATGTACTTACTTGTAACCTAGCTATATTAGTACCTACTCGTATATTGTATATTTATTATATTAAAATTTTTAGAATGTTGTAGGCACCTACATAGTACTTCATTTTAAGCGCAACCGAGTAATGATTTTATAAATCAGAAAATAATTTAAAAAATACGCAACCATGAACCGTATCTTAGGGTTAGGTTTGACCTACCTTCAACTCTATACGACCAAGTCAATTTGAACCCATCGCATGACAAGTAAAACGACTTGACGTCGTCTGGTAGTAGACACCCATTTCGCTGCTCCCATAGACTTATTTTTGTCTTATCACACGGTAGACTCTGTTTGACCGTCAAGTTTCTCACACCCGTAGTGTTTTCTGCAAAAAAATAAACTAAGCTTGAACACTGCTGCTACAAGCGAGAATCGTCCAATTGGCAACACCACATATAAGACATAATATAGGTAAATAAACAACATAGTACTAGACTATCAAAAATCAAATCTTAGTTTCGATACAAAATATTTAGAAGTGTACCTATAGGTAACCAAAAATGTAATATAATATAATTTTAAAGCTTAGAGAGCGAAGCCTCCCACGGGTTATTTTGATTTACATAAATCTAACACCCCTATACATTTAACCCAAATTTGCACCTATGGGTGGTAGGTGCATGTATATTAACGGATTATCATTGATAATTTGGGCGAACAAATCTAAAAGTTAATCTTATTAAAGTGTAAAGTCTAACCTTAATTATTATTATATAGCTTAATTTAGTGTTATTATTCGTCTTATAGAAAAAAATAATAATAATTTATGATACATTAAAATACATTTTGAATAATTTGTCGTCATATTATTAGATACCTATTAGATATTGGATAATATAAAAAAAAATTATAGAATTAATTCTTGTCTTTGAGACGTTAAAGCGAACCTTCTCACCACTTCATTAGGATCAACGTTAATTTCAAATGTGTAAAAATATAAAGCAATACTTTTTTACTAAATTTATTAATATATAGGGGAGATTAACATTCTCCCAAGGTTTGCCTCTGACTATATTTTACAAAAAACATTTCTGAACGGAGACGGTTTGTCAGTCTATTGGTATCACTATGTATATTTCCTTTAAGTAATTTATTTTACAATTAATATTATGGAATTTTGATTACATTTTTTTTTTCAAAAACATTGAAGTTATTATATCATTAGTAATTTTTTTAATTTAATATTAATAATAAGTATGTGTGCGTAACATACGCGCAAGAATGGATGTGTGTCGTATGTCGCCGAGCGGGGCTTCCAATTCGAGAGCGAAAATACGAATGACAGTAAAATATAACGAGCGAAAATTGTATTGTAGTTTGCTTTGCGGATTCTACTCACCGAGAACGGTCAACAGACCTAAAGTGACCTGGTCGTTGAACAAATCCGAAGTAACCAAATCCAGTTTATTATTATCGGCCATATCGTGGTCGAACTGCAGAGGCGGCAACTTCTACAGCTTTACTGTAGGTACCTCGTACCTATATGCATAGACGTATAGTTATTATGCGCTGTGCGGGTTGTTAGGACAACGAAACTACACTAATCGCTATCAACAACCCCAAAACACATAAGAAACCGTGATGAAAATCTATAATAGGTATTACGAAGAAACGATACGGAGGCAAAAAATACACGCTTTTGATGTTTTGGATAACGCGTTGTGTGAATTTATTTTTAAAACTTAGGTAAATATGTATCAAGCAGATGACAACATTATTATTTTTCATATTGAATGGTTCAAATTACATTTTTTTTTTTTTTATATATAAAAGATGAAAATACATTATACATACTATAGGATATCTTCAGTTATCACATAGGTACATAAGTTATAAACAGGATTATATCCATATTATTCACATTTTCAGGCAGTAGGTATATAAATATAAAAACGAACAACAAAAAATTAAATTAAATAAGCTAGTGAACAACATTCAGTTCTATATCTAATCCATTGACATTATTGTCACGTTCAAGCATTTCTATGGTAACAAACACCATGAAGTTAATAGCAGTTTACAAAGATATAATGTTTATATTGAATGTACGTCATTTCAACGTGCGTCAAGTAAACGCGGTTTTATATTAAACGAACGACTGCAATGAGTGCATGCGACATTTTGGCTCATGCGATTTTGACGCCGCTACATTTGGGCGCAAGTTAATTTCGATGCTAAACAAAAAAATAAAAATAAAATATTTATATATTATATACGGTGTACAGCACTTATTAGTTAACTTATTACGCAGATATGACAATTTTACATTAAAATAACAATTGAATATGTTAGATGATTGTGATTTGTGATACCCTTTGTTATCAATCATATTACTCATAAGTTATGAGTCATAACTGTTCATCGTTTTCGATGCAAAAAAAAAAAAAAATCAGATATCTATATATCATAGTTATGACTTATGAGTTATAAATAATTTCACAACCAACAAAATGCTTTAAGGTATTGCCCACAATTTATAGTTTTATAAATATTACCATAAATAATTTAATATGACAAGTTATATTTTATGTTACACATTTCACACTTTGCATCCATTTATTTATTAGTAATTATAAACCTATAACTTTGGGCTCAGAATTGTATTTTTATAATTATACAAAGAAAATAAAAATATGTGACAATCTTAATATTAAATAGGAACCGTTTACAGAACTAAATCAGTGATTTTAACCTGATTTCATTATCATACATTTATTTAAATTATTTACTAAATTACATTCTATTGATTGATGTTGATCCATTGTAATTTGGTATTAATATTAATGTATAACATTTGTGAGTTGTGACACACTAGTTTAAGGGACATTGAAAGGTATTGGGCTAAGTAATTCCAGACTTTTTTTTATGACTATTTTCATTTTTATTTTTTCATTTTACATCGAAATATCACATGTGCCCAATTATTGTTCACCCAAATGACCAAGTTTAACGCGCTTCAAAATGACAGGACATCGTTTAAATTGTTATGTAATAATTTTTTTTTTTTTTAATGAATAATAATATTACAGTGAGTTGATAGTAAATACATATTTAAAATCAGATTACAATGAAATTTGTAATTTTAAAACTTAAAATTCAAATAAACTAAATAATTATTATAGTTTTTGGTACAATAATGTGGAAGCCACGTCATATGTTCACAATAATTCATTAATAAAATAATAGTTTATAATGGATTCCAAGTTTATGTTTAACATATTACAGGACACCATTGTTATTTAGATATATATAAAAAAAAAAATATTTAAAAAAATGTATGTATATTAATATTACATTGAGTAGATAGTAAATAAATAATTAAAAAACAGATTACAATGAAAAATGCATTTATAAAACTTAAAACTCAAATAAACTAAATAATTTGTATGGTTTATGGTATAATGTGGAAGCCACAACATAATATACTTACAATAATTTATTAATAAAATAATAGTCTACTATAAATTCCAGGTTCATCTTTAACATATTATACACAGCATATTATGTATACAAATATACCAAACAACACAATGAAAGCAAAAATGGAAAAACATTACTAGTAATAACAATAATTAAATAGATAAAGAATTTAACCAATTTATACAGAACAAAAAGATTCAATGATATGATCATTATGTTATTTTAAAGTTTAATTGGCAAGTTTTTTGTTTTTTCCAACACATAAGCAGTGAAACGTTTCAAGAATTTTGGATACTCTCGTTTGTATACAGCCCTGAGAACAGAAGATGGTGCCCAACCGCCTGGATTCACTGTAAACCGAAATAGTTTGCACAACTTTATATTAATAGAATTCAATTTTATACTGAGTACTGTGTCGTATTATAAATTAAAAATGACCAATTTAACTTTTTGAGATAATCAAGTTTAAAACCTCGGTCAATTTTATAGAACTCAAATTATTTGAGGGTAGACATAAAAACATTTATTATTCCTATTCTTAAATGTCCAAAATAAAGTTAACCATAGTATAGCATTATACTAATTATACAATATAAACATAGATATGTATATAAAAATATTATAAAATAATACATAACATATAATGTGAGAGTATATATTAATCATTGTCAGCTGAAAATTGCTTTATAATATTGTTACCATAATTCTTGGCGCTTAGCCCACATTAATTTTTGATCAGGTTATGTAAAATATAAAATTTATAAATTGTATTTATAATGAAAAATATAAGCAGAAATTATTAGTTTTTGTCATGTTGCAGTCAGTACTAACCTCTTAAATAAACCATTTGTGGTCTATATGCCTACTATGTAGTGAAACTACATGTCTAAGCATAAATTTTCTGCTGAGTATGTAAATAAATTTTAAGCACATAAAGAAAACTTAATTTTGACCTAACTGATATTATTGATTTAGAGGCAGTCATAAATCTTAATTTTGATGGTTTCTCTTAAAACTTATACCAATGAAAAATCTATTCAATAAATAAGTTATACTTAATTTAGATATGGTTAATTTAATATTTAATTAAAAGAAATTTCAAAAATCAAAAACATTTTTATAGCTAAAAGTCTTACAAATAAAATAAAATTGTACTTTTAGACCTAAGCAATAATACTGCTAATTACAATTCAACTGAAATCTGTAGCATTTTAAATAAAAAAATTATAAGAAAATTATGTTCTTACCAACAGCACAATAGGTAATTTTACATGTAATATCATCTCGTTTTATCTCACGACCCTTTGCTGCAGGAGATATGATTGTTTGACCCATAAGAATAATGGTCAGATAAATACGAACTTGTTTACCTCCATTAGGCTGAAAATAAATAAAACATGAATTTTAAAAATGTCAATAACCTACTGAATTTTGTGATATTAAATTGAATTGTTTTCAAAAATATGTTATTGAATTTAGTAATGTAATAAGTTAATACTAATCAAGAATTAAATATATAAAATAAAAATATTACTAAGTCATTTTTTTAATAGTTTAATAACATACAGGATGTGATGGTAATTCTACTGAACTGTTGACAGTTGCCCATATATGAGGGCTGTCTTCAGACTTATTCTCTTCATCAGGAACATGGGTAAGATGTGACCAAAATGTAGCATCACGTTGTGCTGCAGGCCAAATACGTTTGTGTATCTGATGGAATAATATTGTGTCTTCAGCAATTTTGTCAACAACATTCATTGTTTCTAATGTACCTGTAGATTTTAAATAAAATATATTAAACTTTTAGTTGGTTAAAAAATTTGTAAATTATAATATTTTAATACCTTCCCAATCATATCTGTATTCAGGATAAAAAAAGTAATGACATAATTCTCGGCCAGTGATTCCTTTCACTTGATGAGTTGCTTTCAGAGGATCAACAACTAATCCGTCTTCTTCAACTTCTCTTCGGTACATCTTCATTTCTCCGTCTTCGACAAATAATTGCCAAGCTCCTTTGCCGAGACCCATTCGAGCTGATCTAATTTGTTCGGCAACTACTCGTTCAATCTTAACACATAAAATTATGAAATAACTCAATTATACTGTTAAAATTTAATACAAAAATAAACAAAATACAAATTTATCAATATATAATATCAAAAATTAGCATTACTTCTGGCCAATATTTATGTTTCAAAGAAGCATTTGTGGCAGCAGCTCTAACCAGCTCACCCCAATTGGTCTCAGTTGTTTGAACATTATTTTTAGTACACTGTAATAACTGATCTTTTCTTTGTTTGGCATCCTCAGCAGAATTATCATTGGATGATTCAACAGCATCATAAAATTCATCCTCCGCCAAAGTAGAATGTTCCTGCATAATGAAACAAATAATATACTATTGAGCAAAAAAACAATAGTTGCAAACTAAAACATTCAAATAATATATGATCAAGTTATCTAATTTACTTGTGTAATAAATCCTTAAATAAATTTTAATTAAAAATAAATCACAAAGAATAGTTTTTAATTTGATGAAATAAAATAAGTTTATTAACTTTTTAAAATAAAGTAGGCATATAATTTTTAATTTAATACTACCTAATGAACAAACAATTATTATTAATACATTTTATGTTAATTTACTGAGTTATCTGAATGGAAGAGTGAATAATTTTACATATTTGTTTTTTTGTCTACATTCAATAATAGAAAAAATGCTTAAATTATTGTTGCAAATACTCATTTCAATCTTAAATCATAAAAGTATACTTTTAAGTATATTAAATATGTTATTATATAATATTACCTTTTTAGAAATAGAATTCATTATGAACTTTACACAAAAACCGGCAACTTAAAAAAATTAAGCAGTTGAATTTAGTCTATAAAAGTTAACGTTAAGTGAATGTTAGGTACTGATTAAAAGTAATAACTAATAATTAACTAACATTAGAAGTAGCAATTCATTTTTTTTTATCTTAACATTATTCCATATCTACTTTTACCATAAATTGATAATACAATATTTGGACTACGATCAGTTCAATAAATATGACCTTATAAAAACACAAGTTCATTATGAACATTTCATGATGCATTTATTTTTGTAAATATTAATTGTTATGGATAACTTTTTTAGTAATTTTTCTATGCTTTATAATTATGATGATATTGAATACTTTTACCTTTAATGCAATTGTATAATTTATAAAGAAATAATGAAAAATCTAAATAGATAGTTATTTATACATACAGTTAAATCAGCTCCAGAAAGTACTTGGGCTCTTTCTTGATCTGTGAGCCCATCGACTAGAGATAATGTTCGCACTACTTCTTCTAAATCTTTTCGGTTATTTATTTCTTTCTCCAGCATAGATTCCCATGCTGTCTCTCTTTGATTCATAACCTGGACAAATAATTATATGTATATTAAAAAATGAAATAAATAAATTTTATTTTCAGCTTATAGCATACTTCAATACAATGTCTTAAAATTTCTAAGATTCCAGATGATGTTGCTTTAAATGCTACTGCTTCACCTTTAAAATCTAAAGCTTCACATGTATATTTTTGATAAGATTCACTTTTTGATACACCTTCTAAAAAAAATAAAAATAAATATTTTTATTAATATATAGTATTAGAAACATAAACAAAAGAAACATTTAAGTTGATAAATATAGTAAATATACATGTATACAAATACTAATTACTAACAAATGAATATTGTTCCTAAGAGTTTCAAGCTGAATGCATAGAATAAATAAGTAGGTACCAAATAGAATGCATATGCCTAAACAAAATGGTTTGAATATGATTAAAAGTTGAAACATGTTATATAATAACTTATATTAGGTATTATAAATTTAAATTATTTAATAAAACACAGTAAAACAAAATATGATTAATTTGGGTTCACCGATTACTCAATCACTTAAACATTTATTTATTTTAAAAAAATTCTAAAATTATTTTTTATAATCATTTTGTTTGAATACTTTTAAATTAACAAATAACAACCCATTTTTATTTACAAATTAAAACAAACATCTCAACAATTATATTTATACTTTATTCATTTATATTTAATCATAAATATTTGTTTTATGATAACATTCATTAATTGTAGTAATATCCATTGACCTATATTGTGTAGATTCCAACTAAGTCTTATTTTAAATAATAATTATAGTTATAAGTATGCACAACAAAACATATTATGATTGTTTATTCTTACATAATAATAATTTTATCAGTTTTTCTACAGGTGACAAATGACAATTGTATAATGTAGAAGGTATATAAAGTATAATATATAAGGTGGTTTTTTTCATCACGGACCATTCATTATTAAAAATCTATAAAAGTTTTTAAAAATATATTTTTACATGATTTTCAATTAAAATAAAACATTTATTTTAAATAATATTGTTTTTAAGTTTTTTACTTTTTTTAATGATACATATATTTTTAATTTCACATCCTGAAACAGATTATTATTTTCAGTATTTTAATTTATAAAAATAAAAATTTAGATGAGTAATTTATGAGTTATAAATATCTAAAGTTTGGGTGAACGAAGTGTAATAGTGAGGATACCTCGTAAAATGTCGGTCTAATACTCCACTCACCAATTACTTTCAAGGCATATAATTCCTCAAAGACTACTAGTCTATATTTCGATTTTTATAAATCGAAATACTCTGAAAAATATTCTGCTTCTGAATATAAAATTAATAATGTATGTTGTCATTCAAAATAATAAAAAATTTAAGTAAAATATAATAATAAAAATATTAAAAAAAATAGTTTAAAAAAAAAAAGAAAAAAATGTTTTATTTTGACTAAAAATTATATAAAAACTATATTTTCAAAAACTATTAAATTTTGAAATAATGAGTGGTTTGTGATGAAAGAATCACCTTTTATATTTGCATTAGTTACATAAATAAATAACAATAATTATAATAAAGATAAACAGGATCTTAATGACAAATACTTACTATTTACTATTTAAATACTTAAATTATATGTATAAAGTTAAACAAGAAATTGGAAATTTTAAATTAAATGCAATATATTCTATAATAATAAATTGTTAACACATACTTATAATATTGATAACATATTTAAAATATCATGAGTCATGGCCAACAGAATGTGTGTGGTAATAATTAATTAAAAGGCTAAGAATGAATATACAAATAATACACTATATTATGTTAGTTGCTTAGTTTTTTAATAAAAATTTGAAATAAAGTAATGTTTAGCTGTTTTACTTTAACATTAGTGTAACAGCACTGTCGTGTTTAAATTAATTTATGTGACTAAATAACATTTTTTTTTTTTTTAAAGGGCATGTAAATAAAACATATTTACATATCTAACATTATTATACAGCATAATTTTTTTCTATAACAAATACTATTGTCTATTGTTGTATTACACCTCAACATTTCTAACTTAAAAAGGTCACAAATAAAAATTCAACTGAAATATGTTATTTGATAATAACTATTGAAAACCATTATACATATAGTAAGTAATATGAAATTAAATACCAGTAATATCAGTAATGTTACACAAAAATATAAAAAAGTTATTATAACTACTGCTAAAAAACTATGACAATATTATATTTATGTCAGTTAATAATTCTACACAATTCTTCATTTTATGCAAAAGAATATTATACTAAACTTTTTATTAGGTACTACAATCTAGAATAATAAATAATTATTAATTTTATTACAATTAAATAATCATATATTTTAGATTCTAATCAAAACAGGGAAAATATTATTTTATTTTTAAAATTACATTTTTTTTGGTAAACTATTTTTTGAATAGATGATAATGCTCAAACATTTTTAAGCCTTAACATTTCAAATATCAAAAATTGGAGAATAAATGGTACTTCAAACTATTTAGATTATTTATTGATTTTCTTAATAGATTATCAGAAAGTAAAAAAAAAAATGATTTATAAGCGATAACATTTTTTGAAGTGATAGCTATCACTTTTTTATTTGAACATCAAACAATTTTTTTAATTAGTTAATTTACTTAAAGCATTACCATTAATTATAAATCTGTTATAATACTATAATACTATTATATTTTGTAATAAATGTTGTTTTAACGTTAGTAAAAATAAATGAATTATTTAAAAACTAAATATATTCAAGAAATAATTTATTACTGTTTAATTGTTAATATCTGAATAGGTTTTTAATAATAGTTGTATTTTTTAACAAATATTTAGTATAATATTATAATAAATACAGTGGCTTCATTATTAGTGATATACAAAGTCTACTTTTCAATTGCCTTCTTTGAACATGTTAATTAAATATACCTACATAGTACAATAATATATATATATATATAATATAATATGTACACTTAAAAAAATTGACTGGCATATATTTTGTTTTAAAAGTAAACAGGTAAGTGGTGTTTGTACAATTTATTGGTATATTTTAACTATGTATATATATATTAATTAGTGTTTCTTTATTAATCATATTCAAAAATACCCATCTTATACATTTTTTTTTTCAATAATCATATTCACAATAAAAATAAAATATTTTAACTTCTTTCTCAAAAAGCTTGAACATTTGGTTAGTAACTTTTAAATACTACATTAAAATTATATCAGAAATATGTTATTCATGTTTTATTATATTGTAAAAATAACTTTTATCATCATACGTTATCTAAAAAAAACAATAAATTAAACTCTAATAAAAAGATTAAAACAATAAGTATGTACACATTTACTTCCTTAATGATTATTGCCTTATTACATACACTTTATTACACTCTTTAATTTTTATTATTTTTAACAAATTAATATATTATATTATGAGCTTTATATTATCAAGTGTATTGCTACACTTTATATGATAAAATTTGATAATTTTATGCACATAAATATTTGAGTATGAATAAGTTTTCATTTACAAAGTATACTAAGACAAAAAAATGTGAGTAAACTTATAATCTTAATTTAATTTAAATTCATTATATAAACTTCAAAATATAAAAATAAAATTGGCTATCATTATTTAATATATTTGAATTTAAATTTATACTACTTTGTCCTCCTAACCCTATTAATTAAATAGGTAGGTGATTTATACATATTTTTAATTATAAATAATTCAGATATCAGAGTTTTGACGTATTAGACATCTGATAAGTAATTAAATGAATAATGAGTAATTGATAAAATTAAAATATAATTGTGATAGTAACATTTTTGAAACCAATATAAATATAATATAACAAATATAATCTGTGGCAATATAATAATGATGGCATTACGATTCCTATTATATTTTCCTACTAGTGGGGAAAGATATAATATATCAGTTATAACTTGTAGGGGATATAGTTAAAGCTTTAGTTTTATTATATTTAAATTATCTTACAGAATGTAGTGTAGATAGATTACAAGTGGGTACAATACATACTATACATACTAATTCTAGAATGTAGTACACACGTCATATTAATTAACTATACATAGGCGAATACCCAATAATAAATTATCTTACATACTAACTTTATTGTTAGATTTAGAATTCAAAATACTTATAAATTTAAAAAAAAATTTAAATAAATAATTTCTACATTTTTTTACTTAAAATTGTTGTCTGAATTTGTTACTGCAAAAACTTTAAAAAGTGAGTATAAAACACAAATCAATTAAATAAAATATAGAATTAAAGAAAAGCAACTTTGAAATGTCTGTAATTTAATATATTTTTTTTTATTTTCTAAGCATTAATTAAATAAACATGAACACTTTGAATCATATCGAACATAATATGATGATACTTATAACCAATACTGAATGTCTAAAGTAAGTGCAATCTAATGTTTTTAAAGATGTTATATTATCAGTCATTATGTTTTTTTTTTTTTAAATTAATTTAAATAGGTTTATTATGAAAGATATTTTTAAATAACTTAGATCAGTGATTCCCAATATATGTACTGTGGGTACATTATAGAATCAAGAGGCACCATGGCTCATACAAAAATAAAAATATTTAATTTAATGTAGTTAAAAAGATAAAACATTGTTTTGTATAAAATTACTTAACACACTCTGTATATTTTAAGCTAAATTATTGAATGATAGATAAATAAAATATGCCTAAAACACCTGCTACTAGTGAGAATTAATTTACATTGTTATCATATTTCTTATGATATTCACAGAAATGCATTATAGCTAAATTTGATCCAACAAAAGGACTTTACCAGCTAGAAAAAAAAATGGAAACTGCTGACTTAGACCAATATAATAAACAGATAGTTAAAATTTAAAAAATATATGACAATTAATTTACTATATACACAGCAGATGTCAAGTATACACATGATAAAATTGGTAAGGTGACATACTGGTATTGATTGATAGCCACCAATAATAACTAGTTATTATGCACAGTCCTTATCCTGAATAGAGTATATAAAGTAGTTTAATTATTTATAATTTATAACTACAAACTATAGTTCATTGTAAGATGTGGAAATTACAAAATCATATCCATTTAGTTGATAAAGACTTAACACTAAAATAATTTTGCTTGTTTTATACATTTAAAAATATAAATAAAAATATATTAATAGGTATAGCATCCAATTTTTAAAAAATATTTTATATTTTAATATATTATATTTTTGTCAAGATAAATGAGCTCTCAATTTATGTAACTTAGCCCTATTAATAAGCTATTACTAATAAATATTTATTCAGGGTAGACTACAATAATTATCTATTGTTTATTTCTGTACTCAATTTATTCAACTGTTAATGAATATTTTGAATTTATTATTTGGGTTTATCACTTATACAGTCAAAGAAGTAATTTAAATAATGATGAAACACAAATTAAAATTAGATAAGTTGAAACATTAAACAAATAGTTTTAATATTATATGCTCAATTCAATGATTTTAAAGAGTAACAAAACTCTACTTATTTTTTTTTTTACAGTATTATAAAAATTATAATATAAAACATTATATTGTTATTATTGTTATAACTTACCTATACATATTGATAATGTGTGAAAATAATAAAATACAAGTAAATCAAAATTTATTGAATGTTTATTTTTTTAAATATTGCTTGGTTTTAAAATTATCATTAAATTATTCTTAAATTATTGAACAAGTTTGATTTTTAATTTTTAATAATTGTTAAACTTAAGAATATTTATTTTGATTAATTGATATTAATAATGACTAAAAAAAGTATACTTTTGTGATAAAAAATAAAAATGTTGTAATAACTT